GCGCGCAGTTTTAGTGCTTTGCACTCTTTAATCTACAATCGAGTCCAATTGAGATATTTTAAGCATTTACTAATGAACAATATTTGTCAACAATTCAAACTTCTCCTATGGAGACATTGAAGTGAAGTTTATCCATTTAGGCTCATAGAAGTAGATATTTTCGAGTACTGGTCATATTTGACATCTGAGCTGCATTTGGGTGAAAAGGGCAAATCTGTGAGGTTTCATTACACTTCAGTGGGATGGAAGTTTTGTTTTCTGTTGCAGTGCCAAGAAGAAAAAAAAAAGAAACAGGGACATTTCAACAAAAATCAGACGGACATTGTATTTGCCTCATTGCTTGTTTTGAAAGCTGTCTGCTCTCTCTCTCTTCTTCCCCCCCATCTCTCATGCACCCACACAGACACTCTGGCAGAGTCACACATTTGACATTAAAACAAAGTATGTTCTTTTCAGAGAGGAAACCACAGACCACCACTGTTCTTCCTCTTCAAGCACACAGAAAGCCAAAACAAGCCAGCCACCACTGGGGTCAGTGCAGAGACAGCCTTGATTTGTCATTATTTATAGCCCGAGTAAAGCCACTCTCTGAAAGTAATTAGACCTCAGTAACAAAGAGAAAGGGGGAAGAGAGAGAACAGAGAGAACAAGCGGAAAGAGCGAAAGAAAAAGTGAAAGAGAGAGACGGTAAATGTTCAGAGTCTCAGCCACAGCCTGCTGGGAATTGAGTTAACCCTTTCCAATTTGCTGCTTACGAAGATAAAGTGGGCCTGAAGAAAAGGCAAAAGAGAGCTGCATGAGGTCCATAAGCTCAGGTGGGTATCCCCCTTCACGTCAAAGCCATGCTGTTCACAAAACAGACATACAGAAACATAGAAACTGGACATATTGTCAAAAGGGGCAGGTGGGCTCAGTGAGAGTGAATCGATACCATCCATCATTAAGCCTTATAGACAAGTTTGATTTCTGCTGTGATTTGTGGGTGTCTGGGTTCATGCGTCACCTCAGGGAGCTGACGACTGCTTTGTGTCTGTTGCTAACGTGGACGATGGGGACCAGGTCACCTTGAGCTGCGAACAACAACAACAAACCGACTTTATCTGACTTAACCTAGCATTGTTAATGCATCTTCTAAAAGAAGGGATTCACACACGCACACACAAACATTTGTACATATGCACACACAAATTCACAAACCAAAACATGCCCGTCTTAAAAGTTTGTTTTTTTTGTAGCGCCTGAGAGAGACAAAGTGCTGTTTCTCTTTAGCAGCTCAGCTCAGGGCCAGCCAGCTAATAGCAGATAGCCCCCGTCATAATTAGGCTCAGTAGCTACAGTAATGGTGATAAAGTTGGGCAATTAAATATTCTGCTGTTTTGACACAGCCGGGCATTTGGCTCCGAGTACACACTTGCTTATGTACGTGTATTTGTGTGTGAGAGACGGATGTAAAGACACATTGAGAGAGACAGACAGACCTGTTCCTTCACTGAGTACATGCAAATGAAAAACTGTGGGTGTGGAAAACACTCAAGATTGCTGACCTTTTAAAACAAAAAAAGGGTACAGCAACAGAACAAAGAGGGCAATACACTTTATATTGGTATATTCTTCAAGGACCTGTCCATTGTCATAAACACATGCACTGTCTCACTGCTCATTCCTCATCAGATTGAAGTATGGATCTCTTTTTTTAAAGAGAAAAAGTGGCCCATGACTGTAGGAAATCAGCTCACGGAGAAACTTAGTGAACCAGGAGAAATGAACAAGGGACGGAGATACGGAGAGACAGACAAATGCAGTTGTGCACAGATGAAGGAGCAACGGGAAAAAAACAAGCCCTTTGTGATTGCCAATGCAGCCGAGCAATTCCATCTTCGAAGCTGCCGGCAATCTATAATTTTATCACTAGCCCAGATGAACACTTAGTCTATTTTCTCAATCAGCATATTTAGGGTATTCAAGGTCACTCCAGCATCAATATTCAAAGTATTCAAGATTCAAGATAGTATAGTATTCATTTTGTGCAGGACGAGCTTTCTGATTTACCTAAATACAACGAGGCCTGATTAGGCACAGCTGCTGAGCAAAAAGTCTGCCCTGATGGGGTCACCTGCTGCAGGTTTCTCCCAAAAACACCAAGACAGCAGGGAGGAGGAGCAGGTGGGGGGACCTCCCCTCTGTTTAGTCTCCAACCTGGTCCATCCTCTCTCCTGGTTATTTGTGTCACTCTACCTGACAGCCTGAAGCACTAGCTTGTCTGACTGCCACTGGGAAATGCTCTGAGGGACTCAATACTGTATCTCTGTGGAGGAACTGGATGCTGGACGTCCTCCTGCCAATCAGGATGATCAAAACTATCGAATGCATTGTCCCGAATACTGCGGGATGCAATATATGGACACAAAACTAATTTGCTGGCATGCAGAACACCCATAGAGACACATACTGTACATAGAAAAGATGTGCAGATGCAAACCCAGCTCTCACCCTCTGACTGTACATACAGTCATAAGTGTATTTGTATTAGCGTCCTGATAGGCTAAGAAGCACATAGTTGACTGTGGTGTGTTGACAGTATTTGAGCTGCAGCATCTTGTCTTTCGCTCCAACTCACAATCTGCCCTGCTCCTCAGTCATGTTCTTCCTTTGTTTGATTCTGTCAGGTTTTGTGTTTCCTGTTTAATTTGGTTACTCACCTCTCCTCTAGTTTCAAATCACTTCACTTCCTGCCTTTGTGTTTTCCCGCCAGTTTTGATTGTCTGCCCTGCCCTGATTGGTATCACCTGTCCCTCATTAATCCTTCTCTCCTGCCTATCTACACACCTGCTCTGAATAAGCCTAGTTAGTTCATCCCAGCCAATCAGCTCCCTGCCTGTTCTCTTGCCTATTAACCTCATTCGCTTCACCGAAGCTTCTCCACCTGCACTTCATCCTCGTCACGTCAATTTGTGTTTAAGTCCTGTTTTTTGTTGTGTTCAGTTCTGCCTTGCCTGCACTGAACCTTGAATTAAAGTCATTACTCTGAAGTCCTGTTTCCTGTAGTCTCCTGTATTTGGGTCCACATTCTCCACTCTTCATGACACTGACCTTTGTTGTATTTCTCTCCAATGAGCCAGAGTAAAATATATACATTTTACTCTGCTATTTAATTTCCATTTATGCTTAAGAATCAGCCTTGGACAACAAGAGTGCTGAAATAACTTGTGGTCTAATTCTAAATACACCTTCCCAGAATGTGTCCATGATTCACAGGCTCACAAAAAAAATGGCATAAAAACCACAGAAACGATTTCAGGTCATGCTTTCACGAGCTCAAAATACCTTTATTTGAGAACTAAGAATATCACATCTAGTATTCGCAGGGTCTGCTGCGCCCTGTGCAATGAAGCAGGCTTGTCAAGAAAAATAATAACGGCAATAAAAATAAAATAGAAAAAGACTAAATGCATACGCTCACAGAGCGAACCTATTTGTGAATGTTATTTCACCAAGTCATGACTCTCTAAGCTCTAAATTACTTTTTTTATTTCTTCCTGTTGTGAAGCACCTCGGGGGCTGACTCAGAGGGAAAGACTGTCCTGAAACACATTTGTCGCTTCCAGCCATCTAACTCACTGATGCTGGCATGCTGACAGGCAGCAAAAGAAACCACCTTTCTCTCCTTCACCTCCACCACCACCACCATAATCAACTCCGTCATATCTGACCATCATTTCCATCAATCCCTTGCAACACTCGCCCGCCTCTCGTCCCTTGATTCCTCTGTTTTGAAATAGTCTCCCCACCCTCCTTTCTAAAAAGAATCCCCTCTGTCCCACCAGTCGGGGTGAACAAATGTCAGCCCAATCATATCCAACTACATTCTACTCACAAATCACACGCATGAAATATTCACATACAATGATGAGGATGAAGTGGTGGCAGGTGGAGTGTGTGGTTGAATGTGTGGATGTGAGACTGATGAGTCAGAAAGAGAAGAAAAAGTTTCATGTCAAGGATTATTCTGTATTAATTCAGGGACAAAAGGCAATAGAGAGAACAGAAGGAGAGTGTGAGTGAGCATGAGAGCAGCTAACACGACCCATCCAACCCTATAATTCACCTTGAAAGACCCCCTGCTGCTGTCACGATGGCTAACAGCGCAACACACCAAACGGGAAAGACCTGGCGGTGAGGTGAGGTGAGAGGGACGTCAGATGAAAGATGAGGTGAGATAGGAAAGTGAACGGGCAGAAGGGAAGCGGAGACAGAGCGAGAGAAAGGATAAAAGCAGGGAGGAAAGGTGGAGAGCAGAATGGTAATCCCTATGATTCACGTCTGCATTCAGACAGAGCAGCGGTCTGCAGCTAACCGGGGAGCACAGGGAATAGGGTGGCATCAATCAGATACATCTGGATGTAAGAGGAAGAGGGGGAAATATAGAAATATCAGCACTCTTAAAGTCAGAAGACAGCACTTTCCTTCCATCAAGCAGCCACTCTGTCAAGTCCAGTGGGACTGAGCAGAGCCTGTGCCAGCCAGTCAACCGGCCCACAATGAAGACCATATACATTACATGCCCTGCCCGCACAACACTCGCTCAAAATCAAGGTGGCAGTGGGCTTAGAGTCAGCATTAAGGAAGGCTGAAACTTTTTTGTAGACGGTAAAAGGAAATGACCTGGGACGTCGGAGCGAACTTGAGCCAGGATGTAAAACAATGCTTTTCAGTCGGGGATGAAAAAAACACTTGTACCACACCCATGAATGTGAAAATACAATATCAGGGCGCAACGCCCGGTAAATCCTGTCCACCTTTTGAAAAGAATTGGAGCTGTAAATACTCGACGGTGGCAAAGTGCTGATTCAAACGGTGAAGCTGAAAGAACTTTGCTCAGCAGGGTGCTGCTGACTGCTCTCATCCCCGCTGACAATTGAAGCCACCAGTTGGACTCCTAAGCACGGATTAAACACCCGAAGAAAAGTCATCACAAAGACACAGATATATCACCTTGCTGAAGTGGAGGAAGTCATTTCAGCTGATTTGATTACCGAGCTTACAGTGAGGTAGAGAGAGAGAGCCTAAAGCCTCGCAGACCAGAAAAGGGAAGGCCAAACGACATCTGGGGCAGATGAAAGAAGAGCTTATCTGCACACTTTACTTCATGGTCCATCAGCAGATTTCATTCCAATAAGTAAATTGGCCCTCTTCTAGTATTTCCAGGTGAGTTAATAGACTCGTGCTGCTCTGGGGTCGAAGGGGCTATCTGGAGCTGACACAACAAATCCTGTCATTTATGAAAGGGCTATAAATGATGGGGTTGATGAATATTTGATGGGCGATCTTCACCAGGAAATCAAAACTGAAACATCTTGGAGGATCGCCTCCCTCTTGCTTGTCAAGCTTGACGGGCCCATGATGACTCCGCTGCGTCTCCTCTGTGCAGAGACACAAGTCAGTGTGCACAGAAGTCGCTCCACCTTCCTGCTGCCTTAGTGCTCATGTGAGCAGGAGGCGTCTCTCCACGGGACAGCAAATAGGAGCTTTATGAACCCATGTGCTACGTTGCCACATTTCATAAAGCCAAATTGAATCACGCTCAGTGTGACATTGCTATTATTTCAGGGTTAATACATTGAAGTGCCACAAAATGTGCAGGTGATTTTTTGTTCTGTGCTTCAGCGTGAAAAAGTAATTTAGTACTGAACCGTACTACCGCATTGGAGTTTAAATTATGGCACTCGGAACATCGCAGCAAAGACACTCTAGTGACTTTACTTTGTCGCTCAGCTGCTTTCAAATGAGGCCTGAACAATTTGATAAAACAACCACGTTGGTGAGCAACAGAGAATAAATGATATAAGATATGGAACCTAGAGAGAGAGACCGAGTGAGACAGCCGTGTGGTGGAGAACCTGATTCTCTAATGTGCTCCATGTAATACTGTATATGCTGACAGGGGTGTTCGGAGGGCTTTGTGGGTAAACCCTCCAGGGTTTTCTCTGTCCTCTCCATCTCTGCTCTCATTACATGATGACACTGATGATGAGCTTCCTGCCGATCAGTGTCACCGTACCGTGCAGTCCATTTATCACAAGTGGTAAACGGAGAGTGGTCAATAAAGTAAAGTAGCCACAGACTCCATTTGCATGATCTCATTTTTAAGATTATTTATCAACCCCTTAATGTACAATGTTCCCCTTTTTGTTTTCACATTATGTATTAGCTTGTTCCAACTCTGCAAAGCTGTTTACATTGAGTAAAAATTGAAACCCAAGATCATTGCCTTGACTCGAAATATAGATGTGTCATTTTGTCTTGACATGTTTCATTTCTTTGAACACTGGGTTTATTCTAAATGTTGGGAGTTTAGAATCAGGTTCTGTGGGTATGAACAATGTTACAATGCAGAGCATGTCTTTGTAATGAGTGGCCACTGCTTTTACAGTAAGACACCAACATTACAGCAAACAGCTTTCATCAGGCCAAAATAAAGGCTCTTTTTGCACTCTTTTTGCAGTGCTGTTTTGATAAAAACTTGTGAAAATGAGAACATAGTGTGCAGCTACCTAATCTTATTGAAATGTAGCCTTCAGCACCATACTGTACATGGCTGAGCATTCCTATAACTTATTGACTAAACAGAGAGAGTTGACCAGCTTTCCACCTAATGTGCTTACACTTTAATCTGAAACTCAAACTGGTCTAAGAACACCAGAACGCTGCCCGCTGCTCAACAACCTCAATCCAGATTTTAGATAACAAAAACTCAGATTACTCATTCCTGTTAAAAAGACGTGCTTAATTATTTAGCAGTGGTCACTGTTACACGAGACGATGTGGATGGAAGAAGCCAGGAAGGCCGCGGTGCATCCAACGCCTAGCACAGATTTCAGAGTTCTGGTGGGTAAATGATAAGGTGTAAATGGGCCAAAGTCAACACCTCCATGGCCAGTATGTGGATCACATTAGACAATAACCGAATGGAGTCGATCATAGATAGAGTGCCAACGCAGTGCTTACAGAGGTTGTTTTTTCTTCATATCCGCATCAATAGCAAACCTGAAAGAGCCAATGAAATTCAAATATACATTATGTGGGGAAATTAGATTTTTACTCTGAGTGACAGTTTTAAATTGAATATATTATATATATTGGTGTGTACTGCTACCTGTTGGATGTTTGCATCTGTGCTCTCCTAATGACCTACGGGGAGTTGCACACCCTATCTCAGCAGGGTAATTCAATCCACATTTCCTGAAGGTGCTCCTTGCTTGAAGCTAAAAGGGGGAGAAGGAATTCTGTCTTGCCACTACAAGCATTGAAGTAATTTCATGGCACATTGGTCTATGATGATGGCAACCTGGTGATTTCAAATAAATCGAAGTCAGCAGGTTTGGTACAATGATTCCCAGTAGCTGTCAGGTAGTGTTGTCTATTTCTGGCTGGACACGTATCACCATGATACAACGTTCACAGGTAAATTGTGTCAGCTAATAGCATGTTTTAAGTTAAAAACAGACACAGTAGACCGGATTGCAAGAGAATTGCAGAAATGCAAGAACTTCAAAAGTTTGACACAAATAATACCGGAATCGACGCACAAGACACAGCGATATCTAAAATTCAAAACACATGCAAGTCATTTTCAACAGTGTTTCGCGTCTCAATCTCTTATAGATCCATGTCCGATAGTGATTGATCTTGCTTTAAGTCTGCTGTTTTTTGTTTTGTTTTTTTAGATACAGGCGTTATAAACATCGCGATTGCAAATAGAGGCTGGAATATTACACAAACCTGACCAGGCGTGTTACCGCGGTGTCCGAACAGCTGCAGCTTCAAACTTTGTGATGCGCTCGTCGCTCGTCTCTCCTCCTCCTCCTCCTCCTCTTCCTCTTCCTCTTCCTCTTTCTCTTCCTGCTGCTGCTGCTGCTGCTGAGCGTTGCTTTGCGAGGAGACGCGACGGGAAGCAGCACGAGTCTCTTAAAGCTCCCCCACCCACTCCACCGCCCCCAGAGCGCACAGCCAATCACAATAATGCATAAATAAATCATACACAAAATACATGTTCTGGTGGGGAAACAA